GACCCTAATCTATTATGATTGATGCCTTTATTAGTGAAGCTCTCATCCCTCATAAAGAAGCTTCTTTTTGCAGCAGATGGCGATTGTTAGAGAGATACACAACAGGTCAAAATGCAGAGAATATGGGATAATGGAGTGCCTAACTCTAAGTGATGTATCTGCAATGCAACCCATCACCCAAGGCTTAGGAAAAGCCACAGAAGAGAAGACAGAAAGACTGGAAGAGCCAGAGACGCAGGGCATCTGCTTTTAGATATTGTTTCCTATACGTGACAGGAACAATGTACACATGAACTTGCAACAATATGGTTGCCTGAATGCCGTGAGCATAATGATAAAAGCAGTTGACATGCTGACTTAGGGAAAATTCCACATGATTCCACTCCTACAAAGTCACACTTCATTGGAGAAAATTAATATTCATTTTCCCAGTATGTTTTAATTATAGATAGCTTCTTGGTTAGAGGTGGTTTTTGTGTCCACTTTCCCTGCTCCATGGCATTTTGTCTGGTTTGAACCTGTGCAGGTCTTAGGTGTGCTGCCACAGTCTCTGTGAATTCATATGTGTCAGTCTTATTGCCAACATACCATTTTTAAAAAAAATCCTCATCCATCATAAATTTTTCTGGCACTTTATGCTGTAGCAATACTACTTTCTTTGTTGTTCCATTGTAGAATACCTAGTGTTTATAGCCCCTTTACATTGCTGTATGCTATTTTCTCCTGTAATATCTTTCAACCTTCTTGATCTAAAACCTACTTGACCTTTAAAATTCAAAGAATCTAACTTTTTCCAGGCACTGTATTAGTTGCTTTTCTATTGCTGTGATGAAATACTATGACTTAGGCAACTTATAAAGGAAAACATTCAGTTGAGTTTATGGTTCCAGTGGCTTAGAATCCATGATGGCATAATGAAGGCACAGCAGCAGGAACAGGTGAGTTCATATCTTGATCCACAGCTCGGTGCCAGAGAGGCACACTGAGAATGGTGTGTGTTTTGAAACCTTAAAGCCTACCCCCCAGTGACACATCTCCTTCAACACAGCCACATCTACTAATCCTTCCCAAACAATTGTATCTCCTGAGGACCAAGTATTCAAACCTGAGTCTATGGGGCCATTTTCATTCAAACCACCACAGATTCTTCACTAACCATTGCCAACCACACAGAGGTAAATGGCCTTTTTAAGTATTCCTATGTTCATCTTCCCAGATTTACATTTTCTATATTGTATTTATATTTGTAACTCACCTCTCTTTCCATATCCTACTTAATAAACTGTGAGCTCCCAGAGGAAAGAGTTGCTCAAATCCCATTGCCTACCAGAGTTTCACAGTAGATTCTTAACATGTATTTCTGAATGAATGAGCTTTTTTTTAAATATTTATTCTTTCTTCTGCCTTTCCACAGCACCTACTGAAATGCTTTACAAGTAGATGGTACTTAGTATATCATGACTTTCTCGGCTGGGATCATTTGGCCATATCTGGAGACAATTTTGGGAAATGCTACTAGCATTTGTGGATAGATATCAAAGGCATTGCTCAACATGCTGCAGAAGAGCCTTCTCCACCTCCCAACAGGGTACTCTTCTGTCCCAAATGGCTGTGCTGTTAACACTGAGAACCCCTGATCTTGACTGAGTGAGGGACTAAATCTACATTTCCTACCTTATACTCATGGAGTCACTGTAGACCACCAGTGCATTAGATGTACTTTGTCAAGAAACCTGGTTTTTGTGCAGTTTTACAAAGGGAGAATATTGGCAACCAGGATTAAAACTTGGACAATTAAATGGCTTTTGACAGTAGGAGAATAGATATACAAATTGTAATAGCTTCATGTTTGGGAATGTGATATAGAAACAAACATGAATGAACTGCATCTGTCAGAAGGGATACAATCACAGACGCATAAGGTTTTCAGTTTTTTGGGTTTTTTTTTTTTTGAGACAGGGTTTCTCTGTAGCTTTTGAGTCTGTCCTGGCACTCACTGTGTAGACCAGGATGGTCTTTAATCCCAGCACTTGGGAGGCAGAGGAAGGCAGATCTCTGAGTTCAAGGCCAGCCTGTTCTACATAGTGCATTCCAGGGCAGCCAGGACTGTTAAACAGAGAAACCCTGTCTGGGGGTGGGTGGGTGGGTTATAACTTAAAAGGGTTGTTAGGAAATAAAGGAGTTGGGATAAATGTCTTCCTTAGGTCAATTCTGGTGGAAGATATTTTCATTTCTACCAAGGTAGATATTAAAAAAGGTGTTTCCACAAGCCAAGGGAGTGTGTGTGTGTGTGTGTGTGTGTGTGTGTGTGTGTGTGTGTAAAATACAAAGTCCACAAAAATCTCCCATCCCAACCTGGAACTTATTGCCAAAGCTTCACAGAACAAGATTTGATGTATGAAGGGTTTCTTCACACTTTAGAGGAGAGTATTAAAAATCTAAACAACTACAAAAAAATTGGTTTTCCATGTTTAAGAACCTGAGTGCTGGATTTTTATTGTTGTGTGCAAAAATTGAAATATTTTTCTCTATTAAAATTCTTTTCAAAAGAGTTTTGGTACTGAGGCTAGAGAGATGTCTCAGTAGTGAAGGGCACAGGTTGCTCCTCTGGAGGACCTGGGTTCAATTCCCAGAACCTACATGCTAGCTCACACCCATCTGTAACTCTAGTTCCAGTGCATCTGATGCTTTCTTCTGGCCTTCACAGAAGCTGCATGCTTGTGGTGTGCATACATACATGCAGGTTAAACATCTTCACACATAAAAGTTAAAACTTTTAAAAAATAAGATGTCAGATTTTTGGTGTTATCAAAGCCATGTATACTCAGAAGAAAGCTAAAAAATAAAGAAAAATGAGAAGAAAACAAAAAGTCCATCAGTTCTGTTACTTACAAATATTCATCATTATTAGTTTGTGTATTTAAAAACGTAATCTACTCCCATTGTTAGAATCATATTCTCTACTAAATGTTGTATCCTACTTTCAAATAAAGTTATATATTATAAATATATTATTCAAATAATAATATATATACTCTATTATACATAGTATAAGCATTTCTTTGTCATTGTAAACTGTACATACCAGTTTAATTGACTATAAAATATTCCATTTTTAGGACTATATAATTCTTTACTTGACCACAGAACTATGTTTATCAGTTTTTTTTTTTAATTCTAGGTTATACTGGAATTAACATATTTGAGCAAAAACCATCCATCTCTATTTCCTTAGGATTCATTAATTCACCCATCATACAATTATTACTCAGGGCTTACCTCAAGTGGCATGTTGTCTTTTATTAAGAAACCCTGGAAGAAAGAACAAATATAAGAGACAAGCTTTATGGGTTCAGCGTTGGTTGTGTTGAATTTGAGGTGCTTGCAGGATATCTGATTGGAGATGCTAAGGAAACAGAGCTCAATGTAGCCATCTGGGAAGAATTATAGAATTACATTCGTGGTCATATAGATGAAAGATACCATTTAGAGAGGGAGAGAGCATATTTATCTTCACTCTGAGATTGTCTGCCTTTCAGAGGTCAGACAGCAGAGCATGAACCCTACAAAGAGATAGAGAGGAAAGCAAAACACAAGGAGGAAACGCAAAATGGTGTGATGTCACAGGTACCACAGAAACCGTGGCAGGGAGAAGGAAATGGCCAACGGGGCTAAGCGTAGGGAAGAGGTTAGGCAAGATAAGAAGCAGCAATGCTTTATTTGTTTATTTATCAAGGAATTTATTGACACAGAGATCATTGGTTGGGTATCTTGTTTAGCTCAGTTCCAGTGGAGGAAGGAAGAGTTGAGAGTGAATGAGAAAGGAGAGAGTGAGAAATTGTAGACCCATCTCACCTGGAAAGTAGATTTTTAATAAGTTGACCCTGAAAGGAGGCATGGAGAGCTCTTGCATATGGGCTGAGACACAGATTTTCTTTTAAGATGGTAGAAATCTGAGCATGTTTAATTGGTGGCAATACATGTGAGAGATCTGCCCAGCTTTCATGACTGATGTGAAGTAAAGAGGGTCAGAGTGGAAGGAAGGGATGGGGGTAAATACAAACATTTTCCTGTGTATTGGTAGACATTGCCCAGTGCTCTCAAATACAGTCTTCAAGCAGCACACATGCCTGCTAGGAGTTACAAAAGAGCTTATTTGGTTATTATTCAGCCCTCATTAAATGCTATTCACAATCTCCCCCCCAAAAAAAACTGTTTGCAAAAGAATCTCATTATTGATCTAATTTGTTCTCTAGTTTCTAATGAGTTGAATATTTTAACCAGTTGTGTCTTTGAGTGTGACTGTGTGTATTTAATCTGTATCCTTTACCTAAAGAAAACTTTCATTTGCCTCAAATAACAACAACAACAACAACAACAAAACAACAAAGTTAATCTGAATGGCGCACATATTAATATTCCCAAAATAAAATTCAGACTCCTTTTTCACTTTTTATCTCCCAACTATTATCCTCTCCTGTTCCCCTCCCACACTCCCTCTAACCTCCTTTCTTTACCTATCTAGTCACCTTTTTATTCTTTATAAAATTTATTCAAGTTATTTAGTTTTGAAGACCCAATCTGTTTCATGAGGACTGCTTGCAGGGTCCTGGGGGATTATTTACAGGAACATCGGGTCCTTGAAGAAGCTATCTTTCCCTCCCCTGGAGAGACTCTTGTTTTTTAGAAGTACTTCACAGTTGAACAACTTTTGGTTCTCTGAACAAAAAGGTAAGTGAATTCCCACACCCCCCCCCCACCGCCACCACCATCATCTAATAGTGTGAGCAAGGATACGCATATGTGGTGGAGAAGGTACATCCAGTAGGTCCTCAAAATCTGCTAACTCGGGAGGAAATTCCTCCAGTGCCTAAGGCTTTGGTTCCCAGAACTCTCTTGCTAATTGGCCCTCTGCTAAAATAGCCCTGCGCTCGGTGCGGCCCCTTTAAGAGTCCAGCTCCTCCCCGCTCCAGGGAAAGTTGCTGCTTTTTCCGCCTCCTGGGAGGGTGAGTAGGGCCGGCCGCCGGGGTTGCGGTCTTGGTCTCCACGGAGCTAGAGACCCTCCCTACCATTCAGCGCCCAGACCTTCGGTCACCTAGTAGCACCTGTTGCAGGTGAGAGGTAGGTGGCAGCTAGTGTCTGAGCTCCCCTTGCCCTCTGTCTGAGACTTCGCGGACCCCCAGCCCCTTCTATAGTCGTCTCCGCCCCCCGCGGGGGGCGTGTGTCCTGTTGTACCTTCTGTGTCCCTGTCCTCTGTCCCCAACTGCCACACGGGCAGGTCTGTCGTGTCCGCGTCTCGGGACCGCACCCCCACGCGGAGCCTCCCATCTGCTCCGGCGGTCCCTCACTGCCACTTTTTCCTTCTCTGGGGCTGCTTCTGCCTGGTTCCCTCGGACCGTGTTTCTGGGTGCTGCCTTTGCACAGGTATCGCTGACCCTGCGCGCCCAGGCTTTTTCCCGCCAGCCTTGGCCCCTCCGGTGAGCTGGCCTGGTGCGGGCTGGGACGGGCTTTTAGCGGAGCTGTGTCCTCGGAGTTGGCCACTAGTCACCTTTTGGTGACTGTTTCTCACAGGGTCTGGCCCCTCGCTGTTCTTGAGACCTCCGGGCTTCTATGTTCCTAGCTTTGTCTTGTCTGTCTACCACAGGTACCGGCTAAGGGCCAGGTGACTGGGAGTTCTGCCTCAGTGGTCTCCCTTTGGGCTTGGAGCTGCAGCCCCAGCTGTGTACTTTAGAGCGGAACTCCTTTCTCATACCCGCTGGAAGCAGGCTGAGGCTTTGCTTCTGGGAGAAGGACACTAGTGTTCCTCCTGCCTGTAGCATCGGAGAAGATGGGATTGGAGGAGAACTTGATGGCAAAATAATTCGCTTCAAATTCCAGTAGCTTGAAAAAGTGATGGGTTTTGCTTTGACCAACCCTTCCTTCCCCTACTGTGCTGCAGCTTCAGGGCCAGAGGACCTAGCATTCTAGAATACTGCTTCTAGTAGGACCGATGCAAAGCCTTGTAAATCTGTGGGAAAAATTAGTCCCATCAGATTCCCGGGTGCTCCCCTCCCCCCTTTCTGCTTTTTGTTGCTTTGAGACAGGTTCTAGTGCTTTTTGTTGCTTTAAGACAGGTTCTAGTTTAGCTCATGTTGGTCTGGAATTCTTAATGTAGACCAGGCTGGACTCACACTGATTGGCAATCCTCCTGCCTCTACCTCCCAAAGTGCTGCCATTACAGGCATTACATCTGCCCTCCGCTTCTAATTGTTTTCACTGGTTACTTTTCTGCTCTTTCAGCGTCATATCCCCGCTGTTCATAAATGTGTTGATATTAAGGAGTTAATGAACTAAAGGGTAAATGTACCCTGAAGTAGTGAAAACAATGTTTAATGGAGAGAGCTGTGGCAATTTTTTCTTGGTGTGTGTGGGGGAGGGGATGTAAGCACCTGCCGGAAACCCTAGTACAACGCCCCGCCCCCCTCACAAAACTGTTTGTGAGACTCCACTTAGGTAGCAGATGAACACTGGTAACATGATTTCAGATGCTGCACCCTAGGTCAGAGTGGTGAACTTGGGCTTGGAGGTCTGTTCTGGGATTGTTGGTCTGTGTGTTTATGAAGCATTCTGGGTGGTGTTCTCTGAGCAGTTTGCCGTCAAGACTGGACCTACTATGATGCTGCCACAATGAGTGCAAGTCAGGCATGGTGGGAAGTTCTCATATTATCTCGGACAAGCCACATACTAATTCTGTGCAGTTGGTGCTACAGTTAAACCATGAGCCGGTGAAAAGGAGACCGAGGTGCTAAGGGCAGTGCCCTCAGTACGTTCTGACAGTGGGACAGAGCTTGTGCGAAGCTCTAAGTTTGGGTCCTTTGCTCCATCTTAGATGTACTGTGGAGGAATTGAATCACCTCATTCATATCCTCACCGAGTTCATGTCAAGCCCAGGGCCAGTTGCATGTTGCCCTGAACGTGCCTGGACGAATGCGGCCTCCAAGGCTCTCAGGCTCCATGGTAATTTAACTGTCCTGAAGTTAGGAGAGCATAATCCTGGATTTTAGAGGTGTGTGCATGGATTCTAGGGGTGGGCACCTGATTCAACTTCTTCCTTTGCTGATGGCCAGGGGAGAGACGAAGGTGCAGCAACTGACAAGTCTTTGACAAAAAGATGTGTGTTGTGTGGCAAAGCCACATCAGGTGGAGTGGTGCTGTACCCTTTCTGTTGGTAGTTTAGGCGAAGATAGTTGGGAGAATGGCTTCCTCAGTTCCAACTCTGGAACTCTAAACTATTGTTTCCTCTCGGAAACTTGCCATTCATATACCCCTTCTCACTATTTCTTATTCACCCCTCAGGATGTAGCCTAAAGTCATTGCCTTTGAGACAAACTCATTGAATACACATGTCCTCCCTTACCCAAGCGGAATGGCTAGTTATATTATGTTTAAAGACTTTGTTTGCACTCCAGCAAAGGTTCGAATACCACTCTGCTTTTCCATCTGGAAGCTTGTAATCTCTGTAGGGGCAGTAACTGGGTCCTGAAGCACAAATAATTTGTGCTAGGGATTGGGGATGCCATGTCTCCAAGGGATTGAGATGTGCTGGTGGCGAGATTGAAATGAGAAGAGACCATCCTGAGCTCCTTGGAAACCACAGTAGGGGTTTGTACAGAAGAGTTGTATCTCTGCTGGGAGGAAGGCACTGACCAACCGACTTAAAATGCAACTCCTTGCCTAAACATTCTTTCCTGCATTTGTCTTGCTTATTCTTTTACCTCCACCCTATAACACAAGGCCATGTGGGTCGGAATTGCTGTCTTTTGTATTCACCATGGCCAAAGGAACCAGAGTTCTCAGCACATCATAGGAGTCATACTGATTGATGTTTGTTGACTGACTGAATGAATGATAGTGCCATTCTAGGAATTGGAACTCTGCTGTGCTTTCCTGAGCCTATAACCAAACCTTCTTGGTTTGTGACCTCATACATAAAAGGGTGCCAAGGCCCAGTTCACATACAGCTTTCCTTCTGCTGTTTGTTTCCCTTTGAGATTCTATCCTTGATAACAACTTTGACCTAGTTGTAAATATTTCCTCTCTTTTAAATTTCTAATTTGTTGGAGACAAGATTCTTAGAATGTATCATAGGCTGGCCTAGAGCTCATCACTGTGTATCCTAGCTGGCCTCAAACTCATGGTGATTCTGCCTCTGCCTCCTGAGGGCCAGGATTGACAATGTGAACCAACATGCCCGACTTGAGCCGCCTCTTTATGTTTAAGTCCAGACCTGTGGGTGGAAATGTAAGGATACTTCTCTCCTTGGTTCATTTTCCTACCAGTGGCTGAACTGGGAAGGGGGTGTGAATTATCAGATGTCCTGAGGCCTTTCAGGCATTTGACAAAGTCAGTGAGAGGGTACATACTGTGCAACAGGGAAGTGAGGAGCTCAAAAAGAATAAAAGATGCCACAAATTAGGTTTCTAGTCTCATCGCCGTTGACCTTTGAAAGTGTGAGGTGGTTATTGGGTTCTGGACTGGCAGGAGAACTTCCGGTGTAGTGCACCTGCCTCTTTGTATACTGGTTCCATATAAGATGAGGTGACAGTTGTGTGGCAAAACAAAATTGCTGTTTTGTTTAAATGCAGTGTGGAGTATCCAGAAAAACTTTCAGAATGCATTTGATAACGTCAGACTGGGAAGGATCATCTCACCTTTTTTTGCATGTGTTAACTTCTTTGAAATTTAAGTTTGCACAATAACTGCTTAGGCTCTTTAAAACTTCTCTCTCCAAACATTGAACACTGGAGTGTCTCAGTCTGCAGACTTTTCTCCACCCAGACCTTCTCAGAACTTCATCCAGCACCATTGCAGTAATATCCCTCTGGATGCTCATCATTCATGTTGCTGTTCTGGGCCTTTCTTCTATGCTGACACCTCATGTTCTTAGTGACCTATTTGACATTTCTACATGTCATCTGATAGATGTCTCAAGGGTAGCGTGGCCAAATGAGGATTTTTATTTGCCCTATCATCTTTAATCTTTCCCTTCAGCTTTCCATTACTAAGAAAAAGGGCACCATTATCCATTTAGTTGGTTGAAACAGGAATGTCGGCTCACCCTTGATTTCTATCTTCTTCTTAGTCTACCACATCCAGTGTTTGAACTCTTGCTGATCTCAATTTCAAACTGTATCATGTATTCTTCCATATGCCTCCATCTCTTCTGCATGCCACCTTCATCCAAGCCACCATGTAGTTTCACTGAACCTTCTTCCCCCACCCAAGACAGGGTTTTTTTTTTGTGTGTGTAGCTCTGGCTGTCCTAGAACTAGCTCTGTAGACCAGGGTGGCCTTGAACTCACAGAGATTCTCCTGCCTCTGCTTCCCAAGTGCTGGGATTGAGGGTGCTCACCACCACTGTCCAACTTCACTGAATATTCTTATACAATGGTCAAGTATATGCAAATGTTTGTGTGGAATCACTTTGTATGGGCGTGTGATGGATCTGTGTGTGAACACATGTGTTTGTGGTTGTGTACACAGAGGCCAGAGGAGGGCTTTAGGTGTCCTCTCTATTACTGTTGTCGTATTCCCTTGAAACAGAGTTCCTCACTGAATTTGGGACTCACCATGTTTTGGCTGGGCTGGCAGTCAGGGAACCCCTGTCTTCCTGGTTCCACCCTCCCTGTCCATTCCAGGCTTTTTGCCTGGGTTCTGGGAATCACACTCTGGTCACCATTAGAACTCTTACTCACTGAATCATCTTCTCAGTCCCTAAAAAATCATTCTAGTATGTGACCTTCTGGGTGAGGGAGATACTGATCAATGGATAAATAATTCACTTCACCTGGAGAGACAAGTTTTAGTTGTTTATTGCACTGCCTGCTGACCACTGCTAATGAATTGTATATTCTTAAAAAAGAATAGATTGAATCTTTCTATAATGTATATCTAGAACAAAAATTGATTCTAACTCTTAAATACATAAAATTATTATCAATGGAAGACAAATTTTACACACACACACACATTTTAAAAATTGAACAGGCAAGACCCAGTTGTCATCTCAGAGGGTTTACATATTTCCTAGCAAGAGTATTTACTTATGCTTTTATTAAGGAGGAATGATTTTTTCAAAATAT